AAGAGTCCGGTGTAAGGAACACTGTATTCAAGAACGAGTGCAAATGTGATGATGATGATGATGATGCTGGTCGTTGTGGTGCTGCTGGTCGTGGTGGTGGTGGTGGTGGTGCTGCTGCTGCTGCTGCTGCTGGTCGTGGTTGTGGTCGCGGTCGTGATCGTGGTCGTGGTGGTCGTGGTCCTTGGTGGTTGGTGGTTGGTGGTTTTGGCGGGTTGCTTGCAAGCAGGCTTCGTCGCACAGGGACACTCGTGAAAATGAATTGTGAGCCCCCGTCAATGTTGACTCCGAAGTTCACAAATCCTGAGGAGCGCAGCACAGGAGGAATGCATCACGTGGTTCTAGTAGAACCGGTAGCATATCTTCTCGTTTCCGTGCTGGGAACCCCGTTATCGACGAAGTAGAAGGGCTGTACAGTAAGTCGTGGCCCAGACGAGGAGAATCTGGGGAGGGCCATGTTCGTGTCCCATGAATGGATGAGCGCGGACCATCCGGACCCCAAAGGGGAGCAGCTCAATGTATCTGGATCGCAATTGGTAGGTTTATGCAGCTTCAGGGCTGGCATGGTTTGATCCAAAGGCGGAGGAGCTGCTGCACAATCCACCACCAGAAGTACTTGTGTTCATCGCGTTTGAGGCAATTGGACGTAACTGTAGTGATGGCGGTACTGGTGCTGGTGGCTGTCGTGCTGGTGCGGTTGCAGTTACCGGTGCGGGTGGTGGAGGCCGCGGGAGTAGCGGTGGTAATGCTCGTGGCACTCGCATTGTAGCAGTAGGGTTTCAGCAAATTCACGGTCGCCATGATATCGTCGCCATCGCGAAGATGCCATCATCATCAGCAGCAGCACCATCAACATTGAATCATCATCGTCATCACCCTCGTCATTAATGTCATCATCACCATCTTCATCATGATAGCAGTAGTAATAACAGAATGACCACCACCACCACCACCACCACCGCCGGCGTCGTCGTCGTCATCAGTCATTCCCACCGTAATTGCCAAGGGCCTAGTGCTGGAAGGATTACTAGTGGGAGGTTTTTGTTGTAGTGGTATTGTGCATGTAGCACTAAGATCGTGCTCGTTGTGTTGTTCGTACTGCTCGTCGTCGTTCATGGTGATCATTTAGCCGGGGACCACCGCCGGAGTGGCCCCTTTCGGGAGAGACCCTGATGTAGGACTTCACACTAAGGTCTTGCATCTTCAGGCGGCCTAGCCCCACCCTTGCCAACTCAACCTTTTGAAACGACCCTAGGCCCTAAACCCTAATCCCGCAACCCCAAGCCCCAAACCCCCAAACAACTTATAGTAAGCCAAGCAACCCTAAACCCTAAACCCTAAAACCCTAAACCCTATAAAAGGTCTTGCAGGATGCGTTGCGGAACCTTCTGTCTGGCAGCAGCCGGATCCGCACGTCGGCCGTGACAGAGCTCTGCTTCGGCAGGGTGAGAACTCCCACACCGCAGGAGCTGCGTGAAAAGTCGCTGTATGTCTGGTACGACTATCTCTGCTGTCCACAAGGCTCCGATGCAGAAGCAGTGTCGGGTCGACAGTGGGCGATTGACACGATTGGCGCCTATGTTGCACGGTGTCAGTACTTCGTCGTCCTCTGCCCGGCTCTTGCCCACCACGATCATCGCCAGATCATTGACACAGAAAGCTTAAACAGAAGAGCCTGGTGCCGTGCTGAGAGGCTTGCCCGAGAGCTGGGAGAACGTGGGGATGGTCAAACCGTGGTGATCGAGAGTGCCGGGCATCAGAGCCTTGTGATTCCCACACAGCTGCATCTGGCTGCTCCGGGCACAGAGGAGCTCACGTTTGAGCAGGATCGCCCTCGCATCAGGCGGCTTGTATTGCAGATGATCTGGAAGAAGTTGTTATATTTCCTTGAGCGTGGCGATCTTCACAGCTATCGCTTCCTCTTGAACAAGCAGTATGCGTGTTGCCTTAAGGGCCTGGACACCAAGCCGCTTGAAGGTTTGATTCCGGACTTTCGGCCGCAGAGTGATCCATTCCTGAGCCC